CTCCAGGTCAGAAGGTCTCAAAGGTCACCTTAAATGACCTTTTTCTAAAGACTGGATGCACTTGTTATAAATGTAACAAGTGTTGAATACAAGTAACAGTTCCTTAGTCCCCGAGGACTAAATTTCCACACAAAGTAATTGCTGAATTAATTCATGAAATAATCTTAAATTGACCCCGATTAAATAGTTCCAGGTATTTAGAAATGAATTATTTAATAATTGCCTATACTGTAAATCCTATGAACTGAAGGTCTCAAGTAGCGGGTTTGGAAATGCCAGATCTACAGAAAACAGCACCTTCAAGGAAAAATAAATAGAATTGTATTAATTACAGTAGCTTCTGTTCATTCTCTTTTCACCAAAAGAATTGTATCTCTTTGTAAGAAAACAAAGCCATTGAAAAAACTGCACAGCATCCTAGAGAGAGAGGGCACACAGCAGAAAATCACAAAAGATCTTCATTTGGTTTGCCTCCCTGTTTTTTCATTTCTAAATGCTTGTTGTGTCAGGATGAAACTATAATTCAGTTAAATATGAGCCAGCATCTTTCCATTGTTTCTAATTAGCACTACTGAGAAAAACAAGCAAAGGCGATAATATCTATTCCAGAATAACCTACTGTGCTGTGGGAAGGATCCAGATGTCACAGTCTTGTTTAAAATGTAGTTTCCTACTCAAGATATCGTTTAACGCAGCCACTGCTGCAAGCGAAGAAAGACAATGAGCACAGCCCGGTGTTTACATCAAAGCAGCTTACTAAATGTTCCACTCATTTGTCTTTCACTGAGACGATTCTCAGCAATGCAGTTTATAAAATGTTTTTTTTTAAACAAAAACTAGTAATTTGTCTTCAGTACCAGATGACTGAAATACCTAAACAAAGTTTGAAATTCATCTGATTTAAGCTGAAGTTCTCTATTGGTGTTTCCTGTAGATGCCAAGTTAAACAGAGTATACTGTACATCAAAAGCAGTTTCATTCCAAAAGTCCTTGATAGACTTTATAGCCAAATTAACCAGAATGGATATAGCTTCAGCAAGTCCAATGTATAAAACTTTCAGTCTACCTCTGAATGAGCACCAGGGTGAAAACAAAAGGGCATGAGGGAATATGTGGAAAGTTATTTAGCTGTGATCATAATGCAGGCATTACATTGTTTTTCCTGCATGAAATATGCAAAACTAACTTTTAATTAATAATATAATAATGGAAAAACATCATAAAACCACAAGAAAATTGGTACAGTGAGCATTAATTTCCCTTCTATTGTAGAACAAAAAGCAAATATTTACTTAGAACTCTTTATGAGCTGTAGGCATTAATTCTGTGAAGCGAACAACTTTGAATTTATTTAAATTGGTGGGTAAAAAGAAACCAGAACTCTACAGTTTCGGCTGACTACAAGTCTGATGTTCGAGTTCTCTGTTGTGTGCTTGAACTTTTTTGCATCTCCAAGACTGACTCTAAAATAACTTTTACACTAAAAGGTCAACTTATGTTTAATAAGCCACAAAAATCACATAATTTCTGTCACTAGTTATGTCTTACCTGTTGCTGCTCTGGAAAAAACATCCAAGTTTCCATCCAAAAGAGAGAGACAGCACATTAAAACTGCCACCATGTCTGGCTCTTGGTGCTTGGACAATTTCGTTATCAGCATCTCCTTTTCTAACACACTTTGGTTTCTACTTCGGAAACAGGTTCATACAGTTTATAAGGCATCTCTATGAACATCAGAATACACTGTACCTGAACCAATTACATTTTTAGTGTTATTTCCACAACACTAAATGTTTACATTCCTATTAACTGACACTGTATACTTTGGAGATTTACTCTTACTCTTTTCCTGAATGTCTAAGGTTTGTACTGTATGTAGCTCTCAGTTTGTTTTCCTGCTTCTATGAATACCTCAGGGCTAGATCAAGACAGAATTTCTGCACTACCATAGCCAATGCTGTGCTGGTTGTATTTAGAAAGTCTATATATGGAGTACATTAGGTTTTAAGTAGCTAAAGGCACTGTATATGAGAATATGGTACTATTAAACACAGGTATAAATTACCTACTGTAGCAAAAGATCTACACAGGTGGGCTAGACAATTACTGTACCTCCAGGTTCGGAACTTCAATGATGACAAGAAGGTCTAAAACCCAACACAACAAAGACTCAGCAACTAACCAACATCATTTTATGGCAAGGACATTTATAACCTTGAAGAGGTTCTTGGATGTAAGTGTACTACAATGAGAAACAAAACTGTAGCCTACTCCTTTAAAGAGTATTTATTGGATAAAACACAAATTCACTTTGCACTTTGCCTTTGTATTTACTTTTCTAATCTAAATATCACTTAGGGTTGGTAACAAAGAACAGGGCATTTTACTAAGAAGAAAACAGATGAAGTATAAATCAAAACAGGATAGTTTTGTGTGGTGTTCCAGATGTAGGCCATGTCCTCTCCAGAATCCTGTCTTCCACTAGTAAAAACATACCATTTATTATGTAAACAGCAACAAGACAACCTCTTAAAAACCTGCAGTGCTCTCTCCACACTTGCAATGGAAAATGGCCAAATGAAAAAAAGAGAAAAAAACTGCAAAGTTTTCTGAAATCTTAATAAAGGAGTAGCCTTTTTTTTTGCAAGAAAATGCAATCCGATTTAAATGAATTTGCTGAATAATGTTAAATGTAGCAAATCTGTTTCTCACTCATGCTGGCCACATCTATAATTAAAACTTTCATCATAAAATATGGATTTCTGGCACATTTCACACACTGTAAGTAAGCCTTGGCTTGCCGGGCCTGTGTACTGGTCTAGTTGTAATTATTCACTTCTTGATGATCCATTCTGCTTCCAGGAATATTAAACTTTTCTGTCATCTTTGTCAAATAGTCTTTTTCATAGGGGTGTGCTGTAGCTTTGCACTGCATTGCATTGCATTCCATGCTGAAAAAAAGAAGAAAGAGAACACAACTGAGCCTTCTTCAGGTGTCATTTCAGTCTCCACGGCCGAAACGTTGTGTTCTCTTTCTTCTTTTTTTCAGCATGGAATAAACCTATTAGTTGTTCCTTTGCAGCTTACACATGCTGATGCAGCTACCCACCTATATTACTATTGCATTGCATTGCAGCTTTTAGCCCAAATTTACTCCCCAGATAAAAACAGATAATTGGGCAACAGCAAGTGAGAATGAAATGAAACCATTCGCATTTTCAGTCAGGTTTTCTTTAAGATTGGCATTACCTTCTTCACTCTTAATGACTATATTTCATGAGACTTGCAAAAAATGTGCAAAAACTTGCTTTTTCCCTGGACACATTACTTCTGTGCCTTTACCCATAGAGATCTTTCAATCAGTGAAAGACTCTGAAGTCTAAAATTTATTCAAATAATTCACCTGCAACATTGCTTTCAGTTTTTGCTCTTCTGAAAATGTTTTGCTGAAATACGAAACCATTTTGATTCACTCATTTTTCATTTTATTTAGTCTTTTATTGCACAGTACTGTTCTTTCATTACTTTCAAACCATCCATACAAATGAGGCATGTAGTTTGTTCTCTCTGTTCAACAAAAAAATATGCCCAATTCCACATTTTCCTGAATCCCTCCTGGTCAATTGTCTTTTGGGGGCAATTTTCTGTGACAGATGCTTTTTAGAAGAGTGCTGAAAATACTCTGTGCTTCTTTCTGTTATAATTGTAAAAGGATTTACAGTTTTCATATACAATTTCCCGTAGCCACAGGCCAAATTATTTTATGATAAATCATTCTCACAAGGGTCACATTAAAACAATTAGGGAACTGTATTCGGCCCCTGGGCCCCGAGTTTGACATTCCTAGACTCAGTCATAATGAGGGTTTGTAGACACAGCCGTATAACAGCACAATCTATCTTTAAGTGCATGATTTCACAAATTAATACAGTATATCAAAGTAGTTTTATTCTAAGGTATATTGTATTGATGTTTTTATATGCTACAAAATCTCTACTAATAAGTTAATAACATTATTGACATTTATTGCACTACATACTGCTCAAGCCATTTAATTTATAGAGCAGAGCAAATCCCTTTTTCCCCCCAGAGACTGAACGAGAGCTGTACAGAGGGAGCAGCTGTTCCCAAATACAGCAGGTATTTATTCAATCTTATTTGAAAAGGAAAACCTTCATGCAATGATTGTCCAAAACATAGTAAAAAGGAAATTTACAGGTCTCTCCAGGATTTTTTTCTTTATTTATTACCAGGTAAGTTAATTCAGAATGGGGCTCATGAGCCTGGAGACCCATTTATAAAGCAGGGCATTTGCTGGAGCAATGTGAAAAAAAAAAGAGTACAGCAGCACACTTTTACCCTTACGAAGACCAGAAAAGGGTTTTCATCTGAAGAAAACTCTTACAGTATATCTGGAGGACAGGCTTTAAAACAAAAGAATTAAGAAACTCTGGTACTCCGATTCAGCATTACAGCACAAACTAGGTCAGTAAATATTAGATTTTCTTTAGCTAGGTACCTAGAGCTACCACATAGTACCCAGACAGCACATATGGATACCATGCAGTTCTCAGCTGTATGTTCTGTGCAAACCAAACTGTGGTTTCAAAGCAAGGTTTTGCTATTTAAAATTATATCAATGATTCAACTTGTATAACATCCTCTCACTTCCTGCTTAGACTGGTGTACGTGTACAAAACGTCTTATATTTCTTAGAAGAACATCAGATACAGTCAGCACTGAAGAGTAAAGAATCACATGTTGTAAAACAAACTATGACCACTGCAAAAAAACAACTTTTAATAATTAGAACTTCTGTGAAAATGAATTAAAAATGACTACAGTATAAATTCTGCTTTGACAGAGGATTTGATAGAGGAGCACCCGTTACTGAAAAGAAGCTTAAGAGAAATCTGATTCTGGGAAACCCTTACCCAGCATATAATGGCAGAGTTAACAGCAATAGATATTTCCGCTAATCAGGTTCCTCTACAACTTACTGTTTAGCTTCCTCTAGGTGACACAAATATTCATACGCAATGTTTTGCCGCCTTCTTTCATCCATTTCCTCTGCTGTGAGCCTCTCATCATCAACAATAGCTGAAAAGATAAAAAAAGGAACACAGCATTCAGTAGAATCCAAATAAAAGGCCACACAGAAACAAGACTGATTTTAATAACATTTCACCAAATGATTCTTAACATCGGCATGTGCTCATCTTCTTACGGGTTTAAGTCAGTAGGAGTCATTTCCAAGGACTTTAATTACAAGGCACTGCTGCATCTGTATTCAGCAAAAACTGAGAACTTTGTGCAAACTTTGGCTATCATTGCTTTGCTGTTTAAATACTGTATATACAGTAGTTACAGTATACCTGGGTCTTATATGAGGATGAATTAAAGTGGGAGAAGAAAAAACGCCTTAGAACTAAATTGGCCAAAAAAGAGACTACATACAGTATATATGTTGCTAACATGAAATACAGTCAGCATGACAAGAAAGGAATGTTTAATGGAAATGACTGCAATAACTAAATATATTCATTTAAAAACAATCACCAATTATTCAATTCCAGTATTTAGGGGTTGGGAACACAGGAATGTAGATGTGAGAGAAATGTAGATAAGAGATCTAATCTTTTCCTTGCAACTTCCCTTGAGTCTTTCTGTACATTCAGTCACCTGGTACAACTCTCTTAAATGTATCCGGTCTTGTAATTTTTTTCAAAGGGGTTTATAACTAACACGGCACCAACTGGAAACTACCTGGGAAATGTAATGTGACACATACTGTATACTGAACATGAAAAAAAATGAAATTGAACTGCAATAAATTTACAATATTTTCAAGGAAATCATTAGCACTTGCAGCAGTGTACTATAATTCTGTTAGACAGGATTAATAATAAATTTGTTTTACTGATTAACATCTGATAATAAAACTTTTATTTATAAAGGGCCTTTCCAAACCCAAGGTCGATGTACATAGTGAACAGAGAAAAGGGACAAGGAAAGTACAATAAAAGATAAAAGAAGAACAAAATTAACAGGAGCATACAGGTTTTTACAGATGTAAGGCAATCAGACAGACCTAGGAAAAAAGTTAAGTTTTGAGTTTGGATTAGAAGAGAGTCAAAGAAGTTTGAACCTAAAGAAAGGTCATTCCATAACACTGGAACAGCGACAGAAAAGGCACAGTCTCCAAAAGTCCTCGATTTAACCCAGGGGACAGTGAGCAGAGGACCAACCTCAACTGACTAGAGCCTACAGGAGGGAGTGTAAACCTGGAGGAGCTCACAGATGTATGACGGAGCCAGATTGTGTAGAGCCTTGAAAGTCCATAACAAGATCTTATATTGAATATGACTTTATAAGCAACCAATGTAGAGACTGCAATGTGCTGCCAGGGTCTGGTGTGATTTAGTAGTTGAGCTGCAGAGTTTTGGATAAATTGCAACTTGTTAAGAACAGAGTTAGGGAGCCCAGAGAGTAAAGACTTGGAGAAATAAAGCCTTGATGTTATAAATGCATGAATCAGGCACTTAGCACCGGACACTGGTAAAAATTGCTTTATGTGGACAATATTTCCATGGTGAAAGATGGTCTTAATCAAAATTTGCACATGAGGCTCAAAAGATAAGAGAGGATCAAGTGTGACTCCCAGATTCCTGACTTTGGCTGACACGTGAAATGGGAAGCCATCAACCATTATAGTGCAGCCCTTGAGTTTTTCCAGTTGAGAATTGCTACCTACCAGTAAAAGTTCTGTTTTGTAACTATTTAGCTTCAGGGAATTTGATGTTAGCCAGAGTCTGATGCCTCACAAACTAAGTGATAGAGACAACAGGGGGAAGAAGTTTTAAAATAAATCCGAGTATCATCTGCAGAGAAGTGAAACTGAAGACCATGTTTGTATATACTGTAACTTGGCAGAGAGGTACAGTATCATATAAATATAAAAAGTAAAGGGCCCAAAACCGAACCCAGAAGCACACCGTGAATGTCTGGGGCCATTGGGGTCTTGAGGACCAAGAAGACAAAATGTGCCTGTCAGATAAGAGCAAAACCAAAGACAGTACCACTGACAAATTAAGTTGCAAGCAACTTACAGTAGTAACAAAAACATTTACTGCATCAAAAGCAGCACTAAGATCAAGGAGCATAAGGATACTTATAGCCCCCGAGTCAGATGCAATAAGTAAATCACTCACACCCCTGACATCTGTCATGAGGGCGTGTCTATTGTGAAAATCACACACTAGTAGCATGTGTGGCCACCATAAGAAACGGTACAAGCTGCTGTTGTCCACCAGGAAGCAGATGCTGTGTTCTGGGATCATTCCCTTCCTCTGGTAGAGCCTGGGCAAACAAGCCTGTTCTCTGGTCTCCAGTTCCTAGAACCTGATATCATCTCAGCCCACCCACCAAAACTTCAGTGAGGCTCATCCCTGGTGAACAGGGCTTCCACGGCATAACTGTTACATTCTCATCTCTCAAGCCATTGTTACAGGAGCAGCAATGAAAACATGCACCATCCCGCTGATAATAGAATGGCAGTGAGTGAGGCTCCAGGACTGATCAATGTAGTGCTGTGCCATCATACTTGAGAGGTGGAGTTCTAGAGAGACAGGGCACTCCACCCAGAGCACCACACTCATCAGAGTCAGGGGGACCATGAGTCATGACGTCTCCCTGACTGTGCTCTGTCACTGATGGACTATGTATGGCTTTGCAAATTAGAAACTGCTGGAAGTGAATATCCCAGACTGAGAGCCACAGCTCAACGTCCAACATAAAGGAACCAATATCGCCATTTTCCTTCCTTGAATTTCACCAGACCTGACATTATAAAGGTTAAATCACCTCAACGCCTGTGCTCAATCAATTCTCACAACATTAGCGTGGTTAAGCTCTTATGCAACACTGTCATAAGCGATTAGCAATCTTCTATGATTCATTAATCAAAATGAAGCCAAATATGTGGAAACGATAATCCATTGATAACCAAAATGGGTGCATTTTATTTTTCTAAAAACACAAATTTCCCATGCTGCTCAGTACATTTAATCTACGAATGCCATTGAAAATGCAGTACAAGTCATGAAAGCCTGAAAGCCCCGCAACAAGCAAGGGAACAGTTCTGCAGCTCCACGTAGAAACAACAGGATTGAAAGAGTTGAAGGTGTCAGAAAACTCAATTGCTTCTGAACAGCACTGACCTTCACCCTTTTAATAAACCGCCCATCCCCCACAATTTACACACAGCTAAATCCAGCAAAATCCTTTTATTTCTGGCTGACTGATACTTCGGCTATACTTGAGAACTTGGTTTTGAGCAAGTCTCATGATTCAGTTCACACTCTACAGAAGACAGGTTTTATTTATATTTTAGACTTTTCAGTTACAAATCACCTTTTGTCTTGGACACATGGTGCTAATGGCTGCCCACACTGCAGAAGGTCACAGAGCAACCCTTATGGGACTGTCTGCTGTGTGTGACCTTTGGAAACAGGCTGTCGCTGGATTAGCCCAAAAGAAAGGACGTCTAGTCTGCTTTAATAACTTAGAATGTCATGAAACAGCATTATTTTTTATATAAAAGTAATGACTGCTCAAGCATCTTGTACTTTATATACAATGACTCAGCACAGGGACATTGTGCAGTATTATATTCTGACCTCCTGAACTGAACTTAACCCCTTAGTAGTTCACAAGAATGTTACACAAATACAAGAACACAGAAAGTGATTTTGTTGACCAGACTTATACCGTTTCTTTCTCACACATCATCAATTGCTATTTTCAACCATCTTATAGGTAAATTTATTATCCTCCCGATATGATTTATTTCAACTGAAACTTAAGACAATATTATTTATCAATTTTTGGAGGATTTTTTCCATAAGATTTATAAACCAATACTAGTATTTTTACAACTCCGAGGTAAAGAACTAGGCTGAACTTTAGAAACAAAACTGTTATGAGCCCCTCCTCCAGTTTTGAGACTAATGTGTAATTGTCTGATGTTAATTGACAATCTCAGGAACTACAAGAAACAAACCATATAAGATATCTAACACAAAGGTTATGTAAGAAGATATAGGAAGGTTGTGAAACAAGTCTCATAAGATTTTAGAGTGCCTTAACAGAAAAAAACTAATCGACTGTTTATTGTTGTATGGAAAGGGTAAAAAACTACTTTCTGTGAGTCCTTACAGTACATCGAGACTTAAGCTATAATATTACCAAATCATGAATGTCTCAAGGCAAGGAATATAGTTTACAGGTTTACTGTACTCTCTGAACCAGATAACGTCCTTCATTGTATTCCAAAGATCTAGAAAGTTTAGATTCTAATCTAAAATCAAGCCAGATCACCGGAAGCCTAATGACATTTAAAACAAAATTAAAAACTGTTTAACCATCTAAAATAAAGCCCTACATGGGCCAATATTTTAATTATCCCAGATTTACTACCTACATCTTAAATTAACACATACTGTATATGATAAACAGAGTTATCTACAGTAAATAAGTACTCTTTTCTGATAGCACCTATTATTACTCAAGTAACCGTGGTTTTGAGGAACAAGCAACGGTTTATTCCATGCTGAAAAGAGAAGAAAAGAAACGCAACGTTTCGGATGTGGAGCCTTCTTCAGGTGTGAGCCGTTTCTACAGCCGGAATAAACCTTAACTTGTTCCTTTGCAGCCTACACATGCAGACACAGCTACCTACTTGAGCTAACTGTGTTTTTGTCTAGACGTGTGTAAGTTACACCTACGTGGACTCCATATGCTCTCTTCATGTTCCTTTGAGCTTCCTCAAAGGATGGTTAATTGGTTTCTGGGAAAACTGCCCTCAGCGTGAGTGTGCGCATGTTTGTGTCTGCTCCGTTATGGACTGGTGTCCTGCCAAGGTGTATCCTGCTTGACACCCATTGCTTTTGGGGATAGGCTCCACTTTCTCTGTGACCCTGTACTGGTGGTTAGTGGTTGGAAAATGGAGGGCGGTACAAGTAGTATATACAAAGACAAAATTTACAAAATGTGTTCCAACTCTGCATAAAAAAACACTTTTGTTCTACAGAAACAAAAGT